ACCTCTTCAAAACTGAATGTAAAGCTATTTGGCCCTCTTGCAGAAAGAATGCACACAAACAGAAAATTTTTCAGTTTCTGGGGATTCATGGACCCTTGAGACCCATCCACAGAATTCAAGGTCATCTATTTTTTAAAAGGAATTTTAACTAGATAGTGCCATATTATCTATAGCACCATTAATACTCCAAATACAAGGATACAACCCAGAGCACTTCTCATGCAAAGTTAATGAAAAAACAGAATTCATTATAAGATTTACTGTGGTACAAAGCAAAGCATACTCACAAGGATCATATTTAACAATCATCAAGCAAAAAAAAAAAAATCTATAAGAACTGTTACAAGGGATTGTAGTCTAATTTTTACGATACACCTCATATTTCAAATAAATTAAGATTTTTACAGGCTGAAGAAAATTGACTTTTAATTCATTCTAGACAATATGAAAATAAGGATTTTTTTTTTCTTTTTTTGACTCAGGACCTCACCATGTTGCACAGGCTGGCCCTGAATGCCTGAGCTCAAGCAGTCCTCCTGCCTCAGCTTGCCTAGTAGCTGGGCACCATTCTCACCACCACGCCCAACTTCAAAAAATTTTTTTAGAGTGCAATGTATTTCATATTCAACAACAGCAGCTACTAAAAAATAATCTTGTGCACACCTGTGATCCCAGCAACTTGGGAGGCTAAGACAGGAAGACTGCAAGTTCAAGGCCAACCTCAGCAACTTAGGGAGACCCTGTCTCAAAATAAAAAGGATTGGGGTATGTAGCTCAGTGGGGAAGGGCTCCTGGGTTAGAGCCTCAGTAACCACCTACCCCCTAAAAAATACTGCTACAAATTTTAATGTGGCAGCCCTGCATGTTGGTGTACTACTTAATCCTGTTACTAGGGAGGATACGGCAGGAGGTCACAAGTTCAAGGCTAGCCTTAGCAACTTAGCAAGATCCTGTCTCAAAATAAGACAAAAAGGGCTGGAGATGTAACTCAATGTTTGCCTAGCATGTGCAAGGATCTCAGTTCAATCCCCAGCACTGTAAAATAAAATTAAAAATTTTCAATCCCCAGCACAGAACAACAAAATCGAATTGAAGGTGGCAATATGAATGCCCAGACACAATAAGGAAAAAAAAAAAAAAAAAAACTGGGAGTTTTAAATGTGAATCAAAGAAATCCCAGGCATGATTACAACTCACATCTGGTCTTGACAATAGTAAAAGAGGAAGGCCAGTGAGAGCTGAAACTCAACCCAGGCTCCTCTCATCAAGCTTCATGCTACCTTGCACTGCCTAAAGAAGGCATCCATAGAATTCATACTCTCCAATTCACCTCTCCTTTTCTGCACTTCCTGACACAACTTTCTCCCTCCACCTAACCAAGCTCCACCCACTCATAGCAAATAGGGTGGGTTGAGACAGGGTCTCACTGATTTTACAATGTTCTCAAATTGTAAAAACTCAAGCAGGAGGATCTCAAGTTGTAGGCCAGACTGGGCAATTCAGTGAGACCCTGTCTCAAAATTAAATTTAAAATATGCATGATAGAATACAAATCTTGCCGGACATGGTAACACACGCCTGTAATCCCAGCAATTTGGGAGTTTGAGGCAGGAGGATTACAAGTTCAAGTCCAGCTGCAGCAATTTAGCCAAACTCTGTCACAAAATAAAAGGTTAACAACAACAACAACAACAAAGGCTGGGTATGTGGCTCAGTGGTAGAGCACCTATGGGTTCAATCCCCAATACGGAAAAAAAAAAAACCACACACACACAAATCTGTATCATAACCACATCATTTTCCTACTCTCAAGTACTGAAGGAAGTACTTGGCCACTCTCATAGCAGTCATTTGAAGATATGTAGTCCATGGAAGAAAAGAATCATTAATTCAGTCAACATGGCTCTATCCTCGTCAGCTAGCCCTCTGCCTTCCAGAAGAATGTTAAAGGCAACACTACTAGACCTGTAACACCTGTAACACCTGTAACACAATGTCAACCATAGGCTCCTTGGTGGTTTACCACATGCATAATTACAAGTAATCCTCAATGTTCTCAAATTGTAAAAACTCAACAAAATGTGCAGAAAAAAAAAAAAAAGGAGGCAAATCTCCATGTAAACTAGAACGGTGGAATGACTTTATTATCATACATGCTCATCACAAAACTGAAAATAGTGCATGAACAAAAAAAATAGGAACTGCTGAAGCAACCATAATCACCAAGAGGAAACTACAATATAAGTCAAAATGATGCTTGGTATGGTGGTGCATGCCTGTAACTCCAGTGGCTTGGGAGGCTGAGGCAGCTGGATCACAAGTTCAAAGCCAGCCTCAGCAACTCAGGGAGGCCCTAAGCAACTTAGCTAGCCTCTGGCTCAAAATAAAATGTATAAAGGACTGGGGATGTGGCTCAGTGGTTAAGCATCTCTGGGTTCAATCCCCAATACCAAAAAAAAAAAAAAAATCACAATCAAAATGACATTGATCCATGACTAACCTGTAACATTCCCCTCATGAAACACCTGAATGCTCCTTTATAAAAATGACCCATTTTGTCAGCTGCAGATCTGATCTACTTTAAGATATTTGTGGTAAGACACAATAAGAAAGGGGAGGGAAAGAGGAAGAAAAACAACCCTTTACCGGATGTTGACAAGTATAACTACCAAGGTTTTAGAATATATTGGTTAGCACACCACATACCACTAAAATAATATACCAGTTTCCTCCAGTGCCAGGTTATTTTGGCTTTCAATTTTAACCTACTCAACTAACAGGAGTTTAGTGTAACAAAACTAAAATACACCCTAAGCTCTCTTGAAAGAAAACCTGTCTAACTCCCAGTTCCAATTACCTGACAAAACAATTCTTCAATCCAACTTAACTGTTCTGCAGTTTCATTTGGAGAGATGACAGATTTGTTGTCTCTCCCTTTCCTACAACTCCATAAACTGTGGCCCAAAGATACCAAGAATAATGCAAAAAGGTAATAACTATAATGGTAATGCCTGGGGTGCCATGTCTCCAGAGCTATCAACCAGTATCCCAAAGAAAATGCTTACTTGCAGGTACACATAAACCTTTCATTTTAGCCATCACCAATAAATCCAAACTGAGTTAATATCTTTCATCTATTCTAACGACTTTAAGTATTTCTAATAAACTCAAGAAATGTTTTAACTGGTACTTATAAATGACATGTAAATGCTATCACTGTTCACTCCAAATGCCAAAATAAATTCATTGAAGGCAGGACCTTTCCTATCTTGTTTATTTCCCTAGCATCTGGCACCCATGAGATACTTAATATCCACAAAATGAAAGAAATAACAACAAATTCCATGGTACAGTCCCAAAATTTCAGTGGTAACAGAATGACATTAAATCATGTACACCTTAAAAGATTATTTGCTAAAACTTAGCAATCTTTTAAATAGTTATCTATTATAACAGAATTTAACCTGTACTAGAAAATAAGACTGACATCAATTGTGACAGCTACAATGATGAGTTTTCTACCAAAGCAAACAAAACTTGCATGTTTGTAAGATAAATGCCTTTCTTCCCCATTGCCATGAGTGAAACCAAAGAATGCAGAAGAAACCTTAGAGCCTAAATTATGGAACAGATGGGCTCCACTTTGAGTAATATAAACTGCCATCAATTTATTCAAATTATTTGCATAATTACAAAGATATGACATGACTTTTTATTAATATAAATTTATTCCTATTTTTTAGCTATGCTAAGCAGTCTATGAGTTAAGTTATGACTGACAAATATCATAATCTCACTAATGACTTTCATTTACCAGGAAAAAATGAGTAAGGAAAGATTAAAGTTGTGGTTTTGTTTTGTTTGTTTGTTGGTACTGGGGATAGAAACCAGGAGCACTTTACCAATGAGCTACTTAACCAGTCCTTTTTTATAAGGAGCCAGGATCTTGCTAAGTTGCCAAGGATGTCCTTGAACTTGGGATCCTCCTGCTTCCGCCTTTCTAGTTGCTTAGATTATTGATTGTGTGCCAGCATACCAATATTCCTCTCCAGTTTTCAAATCATACTATTTCTTGTTCCTCTGTTCCATTTTTAGGCTGATAGCTTGCTATATTTGAGTTCCATTATTGATTTGTATAGATCACTATAGCCAAGTCTTACTTTCCACAAGATTTAAGAGGTACATCTTCCAACTCTCCTCCCTGCCACAACATCAACAGCTATTGAGAATTCATTTGCCATTTGCTGCATACACAAACCACACACATACACACACACACCTCCCTTGAATATAACTTCTATGAGAGAAGAAGAAGCTGGTTCTGTTTTGTTGGACACTACAGAATAGGTCCTAAATAACTGCTTTACATTGAATGAATGAATGATTTGGAGGGCAACGGTCTTACATGCTGCTTCTGCTAAGCAGGTAATATGTGAGAACACATCAATTTCTGTCCAGTTTTATAAAAACTCAGATGCAAATAATAAGGCTAAGAACATGCAATACTGTATTTGATACACACCTTTAGAAAAGGTGCTATACAACAGTTTATTCAAAGACTACAGAAAGAATTACAGCAAATTCCATAGGAGCTCCCACTTTTCCATTACTATCAACGGGAAGGATCTTCCCAACAACCACTGCTATATGACTTCCCTGTCTGGAAACAGTTTTCCGCTACATTTAGAAATATGAACATTCTGAAATAACGAATGACTCCTTCCCCAGGCCTTGACAATAATCTTAAAATTAAAGGAGGGAGGAGACAGGTTTAAGGAAAACTCAAATAAAAACACGTGAAAAGCGATTTTCCTGTTAGTTGTGAAAGACTGGAAAATTTTTCGTGCAACTTTCTCTCCTTGGCTGGTCAAAGTAATTGGAAGCAGGAAAATTTCTAACATGTCCCTTGAGTCACTAACTAGGAAGAGAAGAGAATCACAACTGTGGGGGCACATGTGCTCCACTTAAAAGCAGGAAGTGAGTCTCTTTCTTGAGGATGGGCCACTCGTCCATCATCCCAATGAGAGGTATAACCTTTTGGAAATTCGCCCCCACTCCCCCCTAACCCTAAATTCAAAGCCAGCCTCACTGGGACACGCGATTTTCCCAGGCTCATGAAGCGGAGCAGCACAAGGGGCTCGGAAAACTGTCACCCTTCTCTTTCTACTTGGCCTGCGACAGGAGGATACTCCTCCAATTCTTGCCAGAAAAGGAGGAGGCAGACCTGGCAGTCAACAGGGAAAAGAAGCCTTGGCCGCGAAGGAAGACGACTTGTCCACGCGGCCAGAGAACTCACCGAACAAAGCACACCATGGACCGGGTGGGGAAGCTCAGAAAAAGGAGGAAAGATTCACACCAGTTCTTCCCACTGCCTGGGACAAGAGACAGGTGAAGTCGGGGTCCTCCTTAGGAAAAGATGGGTTTTCCAGGGGCTAATCTGAACTCCAGCGCCAAAGCAACCTGAACCGCGACCCCGACTAGAGAGAACACCGGAAAATAGGGGAGATGAGCGTGCGGAGAGAAAGGATGGAGTGGTCGCGGTCACTGCGGGCCCCGCGAGTGGCTGGGTCTCGCTGGAACCGGGCGTAGGATGCCCTTAGCGAGGATGCCGGTGGCGCGCAGCCCGCCGCCCCGACTGGGCCTCCCAGGCGCCGCCGCCCGCCCCCTCGCACCCGCGCCCCGGGCGGCCACACAAAGGGGATGGCGAGGCGCGCCAGCCGCCGGGAGTCGGAGGGGCCCGGGACCAAGTGGCCGTACCGCGACGCTTGCCGCACCCCCGCCTTTGTCTGCCTCGCTCAGCACCCTGCCCCCGCCGGGGAGCCCCGAAGCCCGCGGCGCCCTCACCCTGCTTGTTACCCGGGTGAGTAGCGGTCTCATCTGTTCGCCGGCCCCATCCGCCTCCATGGCCGGCCCGCCAGCCCGCGGCGGCCGCTACAGTGCTGCCCCGCGCGGTCCGCCAGCCGCAGCCGCTGCCGAATCCCCGGCGCGCGAGAGGGAACGAACGTGCGTCCGTGCGCGAGGCGCGCTCCGGGAGAGCCGGGCGCTGGGCTAGGAAGCCGCAAGGCGCGTGTATCCGCGCGGCGGCCGCGGGGTGGCTAGGGCAGGGGAGTGAGGCCACGGCGCGGAACGTGGAGCTAGAACTGAGCGAGCGCAGGACGGAGCGAGGAGGAGGAGGTAGCGCGTAGGGCTGGGGGCGGGGCCGGAGGCAGTGACGCGCTCGGCGCCCGGGACGCCCCGGCACGCCCCCTGCCAGTTTGGCACCGCCAGCCTGCTCTGAGCGCCCGCGGGCCCGCCGGGAGGCCACCCGGAGGTGGGGCGGGGGTGAGACAGATGGACATTTGTCTTAGCCAATCGGAGGCTCGCAGGGATCCGCACTCCCCCCCAACACCCCCCCCCCACACACACACACACACACGCACACCGCCCCGCCCCTCTTTGTAAAAACTTAATTGACCGAGGCCTAGAGTCTAACTAGTTTTTCGGGTCGGAAGCTCCCCTGACATTCGGAAGTGGGGTGGGGGTCACTACCTCCCCTGGTTCTGACCACATGTTTTACAGGAAGGCGGAAAGCGGAGCCCCCTCCCCTTCCCTTTCAAGGAACTTATGGGTCTTCACGACTCCTGCAAATTTTTTTTCTGTCTGTACTGTAGGCATAAACTCCAACTCTGTGTCTGTGAAGGAAGGGTACACTTAGCCAGGTATCTTCATGCGTTTTCCCTGCTCAAGTGCAACACTACAGCTCCCGCACTCTTGAGTCCTCCCCATAGGGCACCTCTCAAGTTATCCATATCTGTACCTGGAGATGATCAAGGAAACTTCCACACAGCATCATTGAAGAATTAAGTGACTATCTATCATGAATGTGCTTGCCACATAGCATGCTTATTATTGTCATTGTTAACAGGGTTCTCTTCTTTTTTAGTTAAATAAAGATAATAAAAGTTTTAGTTGAGAAGAGCTGAATCCAGTTACGGAAGGAAACAAATATGCATACCAGAGGATCTGGACCTCACATCATGTCCATCTCTAACAAGATAATTAGTAAAGCCCTTTGTCATCAATAGTTAACTAAGTTTATTGGATGGCCCATTGCTGGTTTGGGTCCTAGATCTCTTTTGTTCTAAATTTCCCAGAGACTTACAGTTAGGCTGTCATATATTGTTCAATAACTATACAAAAAGTAGTTATGCTTCTATTAGTACTAGCTACCATTTAAAGGTATATTTAAAGGCCTACAATTAGGGACTGTGACATTTTGCAAGCATGTTTCATCTCTAATCCTCACAGTACCACAAAATATGTTTGCTCTGGTTTGAATGTGTCTCCAGAAAGCATATTTTGGAAACTTAATCCCAAATGCAACCATGTTGAGAGGTGGAGCCTAAGGAAAGGTGTTTAGCTCACAAGCGCTCCAACTTCAAGGGTGGATTAGTGATGATTATAAAAGGGCTTGAGGCTGCAAATTCTGTTTCTCTCTCATACATGCTCTTCTGCCCTTCTGCTTTCAGAAACGGGAAGCCACAGGAAGAAGACTCTCACCAGATATAGCCCTTCGACCTTAAACTTCCCAGCCTCTAGAAATGTGAAAGAATAAATTTCTTTATAAATTACCCAGTCTGTGTTATTATGTAATACCAACACAAAATGGACTAAGACGAAGTTGCATCCCCATTTTACTGACAAAGAAGCTAATGCTCACAGAAATAACAGGTTTTAGTTTCTATCAAGTAGAACTTTCTATCATACCATTTTAATGCCTTGCTAAATAAAGTGGAACAGCTGGACATGATGTCACATGCCTGTAATCCCAGCAGCTCAGGAGATTGAGGCAGGAGGATTGTGAGTTCAAAACCAGCCTCAGCAATTTAGCAAGGCCCTAAACATCTCAGGAAGATCCTCTAAGTAAAATATTTAAAAAGGAGCTGGGGATGTGGCTCAGTGGTTTAGTGCTCCTGAGTTCAATCCCCCGTAATGAAGGAAGGAAGGAAGGAAGGAAGGAAGGAAGATGAACAACCTTAAAGAAAGAGAAATGATGGTGCAGGCATGGTAGTGCATGCTTGTTATCTCAGCTACTCAGCAGACTAAGGTAAGAGGATCACAAGTTCAAGCCAGCCTGGACAATTTAGCAAGACCCTGTCTCAAAATAAAAAATAAAAATAGCTGGTGAGGTGGCTTAGTAGTAGAGTACCTCTATGTTCAATCCACAGTACCATGCACACACAAAAAAGAAGCAACAATGAAAAAGCATAAGAAAGAGAAAGAAAAGAGAGACGTGGGAGCAGGAATATCTCCTAAAGCTTTTTAAGGCATCAGTCATTTGTGACTATACCATTATTCTCAAAGTGAGTATAATTTATTGAAGAATGTGGTTTGGTCTCTGATACAAAGCAATATCTTCCCATAAAACCATAATTAGTATATACAGAACAACCTCTGTTCCCTTTTCTCTGCTTGATTTTTTTTTTTTGCATAGCACTTATCTCCTCATAACATTCTATGATTTTATGCTTTATTTGGCTTATCATCCATCTACACACACATACACAGAGAGAGAGAGAGAGACTAATGAGTGCTCCAAAGTTTTGTGTGGGCAGCAATTAATTGTTTTGTTATCATATCCTTAATGCCTACAAGAATGTTCAGCCCTTATAAACTCTCAGTACATGGGGTCATTGAGCAAATATACAGGTGGGGCACAACCTTCATTCTTCCTAAAACCCTAAGAGCATCATGGATGATGGTTGAGCCTGTGGTCAAGAACAATACAGGAGCCAAGACCCTGGCTACCAGAGTACAAAGTAATAAACAGTCAACTTGAAATAAAAATATGTGCTCCTCAGATCTTGCTAAATAATGAGGGTTTCTCTTCATCCATCTTGTAAAATGGAAAAGAAATGAATTCTTGGTTTATTGAATCTACAAATAGTTTTGAATTACTTCTGTAGTGCCATATACTTTTTTTTACTCTTCATTTCATCCCAACTGCTAGAGGAAGAAGGTAGTAAAGGTCTGTCACGAGCAGCTTCTCAGCCTTGTCTGGTTACCAGGAGTTCCCTTCCGGATATCTGCACTGGACCCCGGACCGCGACGTACGCGAACACCAAGCACGAACTCGATTGCCTTTTGAAATGCTGGTTTATTCGCACACCACACAAAGCAATACACGAGGTGACTGGCTCACACTGCACGATCTTACTCTCAGGCGATGAGAGTTGATTGTGAGCAAATACATGGAGTTTCCCTCGCGCTTATATACTCTATATGTTTACAACAAACTTGTTTATGTCTAACTTATCTAACATAAGCACACTACCTAGTTACATCATCAACTTATCTAACATGGGCATACTATCTAGTCATCCTATAACCAAAACATGTTTACAACTAAAAAGTCACTTAGTCCCTGCAAAGTCCAAAACAAGTCCTTTTGCTGATTCATGTTGTTTATTCATCCTTGATGTTTACTCCTGTCAAGGTCTGAATTATAAAATTTATTAATCTCAGTTACCCAGTTCGTCCAAGCTCAGTGATGGTATAGTGAGTAAAGAAGACATGAGGCCAGGTGTGGTGACACATACCTGTAATTCCAGCAATTTGGGAAGCCAAGGCAGAAGAGGTCATAAGTTCCAAGTCAGCCTCAGCAACTTAGCAAAGCCCTAAGTAACTTAGTGAGACCCTGTCTCAATATAAAATATTAAAAGCTCTGGGGATGTGCCTCCGTGGTTAAGCATCCATGAGTTCCATCGTCAGTACAAAAAAAAAAAAGATAAAATTGCTTTATGCAAATGTAGATGGCTATTGTGTTTCAAGGTTCTGAAAGGCAAATTGTTCTCCTAAGCATTTTAAATATTTTTTTCTGAAATGTAGCACAGGGGAATATTTGCTAAATAGATGTGAATGTGAACCCAAATTCATCATTAAAAATGAGCTAGTGCCAGGTGCAGTGGTACACATCTGTAATTCCAGTGACTCAGGAGACTGAGGCAGGAAGATTGGAAATTGGAGGCCAGCCTCAGCAACTTAGTAAGACCCTGTCTCAAAATAAAAAATAGAAAGGGCTGGCATGTAACTCAATGGTAGAGCACCCCCGGGTTCAATCGCCAGTACCATTAGAAAAAGAAAAATTTGAGCTGGTAGTAACTAAAATCAATGAGTTTTAATTGCATCCTAAATTCAGGACACTTCCTGAGTTTCTGGAATAGTAGGTAATCCTAGCAGGGACTTGGCAAGATCTTCAGCCTGAGAATTGAACCATCTTCCTGCAACACAGTTCTCCAGGAGCCAACACAAAGACAAATAGCAGTTTCTTTGTCATTTTGAAAAGCCTGAAACCATCTTTTCTTTTAAAAATTTTTTTAGTTGTAGATGGATACAATATCTTTATTTATTTGTTTGTTTATTTTTATGTGGGAGGATTGATAGGATTGATCCAAGGTTTCACACCTGCGAGGCAAGTGCTCTACCACTGAGCTATAACCCCAGTCCCTGAAACCATCTTTAATCTTTAACAGGAGATCCTTTGATAACTATCTTCCTTGCTTCTTCATATAATTTAAATGTTCCTAGTCATCTGATCCTACAAGGTGCTGGGGGAAGAGAAAAAATCGACAGCAGAAATAAATCGACAGCAGACAGATTTACAAGAGAAAATATAATTTTAATTACACACATATGCATGGGAATCCCACAAAACATGAGACTCAAAAGAGCCACATGATTGAAGTTTACATAGCATCCAGAGGTACAGAAAGGAAGAGGACTTAGGGTTAATAGGAGGGTGATGGGAGGAAATGTTTAGTGAAGAATGTTTGTCTTGTTATGCAAATAGCCTCTCAGGTTAATAAAAGTAGCCATGGAGCAGACTTGGAGAGAATAGGTAATAGTTTGCATGTCTTCTATCTGCCTTCAGTGTCTTCTGTGAAGCAGCTAATCTTCTCTAGTTGATGAGATTCCAGGAAGAGGATTCATGACAAATGAATTCATTCTGGGAGAATCTACCTTTAGGCAGATAAGGGAACTTTAAAAAAAGCCCCTCTCTGCTTTTGGAGGGAGAAAGAGAGAGGGCTGGGATTGTGGCTTAGTGGCAAAGCACTGTATGAGGCGCTGGGTTCAATCCTCAGCATCACATGAAAATAAATAAATTTATAAATAAATAAATAAAATAAAGGTATTTTTCTACAACTGAAAAAATGTTAAAAAGGGAAAGAGAGAAGAGAGAGAGAGAGAGAGAGAGAGACCAGAGACAAGAGAAAGGCAGAGACCTTGGTGCTGAGACTGCTTTTGAGATCTTCAGTGTCCTTCAGTTCAAAACTCAGTGTGGGCCAAGCACAGTGGTGCACACCCATAATCCCAGCGGCTCAGAGCAGCTAGGGAGACTGAGACTGGAGGACTGCAAATTCAAAGCCAGCCTCAGCAACAACAAGGTGCTAAGCAACTCACTAAGACCCTGTCTCTAAATAAAGTATAAAATAGGACTGGGGATGTGGCTCAGTGGTTTAGTTTCCCTGAGTTCAATCCCATTACGGAACAACAACAACAACAACAAAAAAAACTCAGTGTGAGCACATCCCTGTGATCTCAGCAATTCCACTCGTAAGGCTGAAAAAGATTGCATGTTCGAGGCCAGCCTCAGCAATTTAGAGAGGCCCTGTCTCCAAATAAAAACTTCTAAAAAAAGGTTGGGGAATATAGCGCAGTGATAAAGCACCCCTGAGTTCAATTCCCAGTTATGGTAAATAAGTATTCAGCATGCCAAAGTGCCATATTTGGGGGGGATCATTTTCTGAAACCAACAAAGGAAGACTAAAGTCCTTGGAATAGTGATTTCAAGAATAGCCTGTGCATCGTCAATAGGGGAAAGACAAATGTGTAAGACTGGAAAACGCCGCACCACACGACACAGATTACCAAAGAGGTTTCTGCTTTATTACAAAAGGCTGTGTGTTTATATAGGTCTAAGAGAGGTAGCAGGGGCTGAGGTAGATAACAGGTCGCCCGCTTATTGGCAAGCTCTTCCATATGTCAGTTCTGGAGCCCAAGAAGTTAATTCTAATTGGGGCTAAGGCTTCCCACTGGCAGGGTTTGAACATTGGCACGGGCGGGAACGTTTCACGCCAGTGAAAGAAACAAAGAGGGTAAAGAGGGTCGTTAGACACCATGTTGGGGTTTTTTTCTGGGGTGCTGCGCCGTTATATGTTTTCCCAACAAAATGGAAAAATGTGTAAATAATCATTGTTCTTTATTTCATAGGCTAGGCATATAGATAAATTTTCCCCCAAAAATAAATAATAATAATAATAATAAAAACCTAGTCCCTAATCTGATGGAATTCAGAGTGGAAGAGATGGATAAGGTACACTAATATCAACAATGTATGTAATGGGATAAGTTTTGCTGGCTGCGGAAGATGTATATCAAAGTGTTTGGAAAAACTACAGAGAAATACAATAGATTTAAATTGATTCATGATGGATGATGGTATATGTGATATAACATGGAATATATTTGGTCTTTGTCCTGCTTCCTGTCACAGAGCTTTGTAAAGCCTTTAGAATTTCTTGAGAGATGCTACTGTTTTTTTGTTATTTAAAACAAACCACTTTGATAATGC